GATTGAAAGAGTGATGGTAACAGCCTCTTAAGTTTCTCTGTCAAGGATCAAGTGGACATAGCTCAAATGTCTTGTCTTACTAATTAAACCTTTCTCTCTCTCTTTCTCTTCTATTTATAGCTCAAGGGAATGTGGGTAAGAACAGCCAATTTTAAAAAACAAACCTCAACAAACTTTAACTAAGGTTTCAATTCTGCCAACGAACCCTGTTGGCTATGTGTGGAGGCTCCTTCATGGCCAGGAACGGGAAGGCGGCTGCTGGCGTGAGACGAGCGCAGACGGGTGCTCTCCACGCTGGAGGGGCTCCCCAGACGTCGTGGAGGCCGCTCAAAGCAGGTCTGTTTTCAGCCTCTGAACCTGTGGGTGCACGGGCTGACCTCAATCCAGAAATGGCAGACTCATAGTCATCGTCACTTGAAGGGCCCACCACGCTTGTCTGGCAAAAGAAATGTGACTTTGGGAGTGATGGTTTTCCTACTGAAGGTAGGACGCTGGTACTTTCAGCTGTCTCTAAATGCCACGTGGTAGAAAACGCAAAAGGAAAAAAGCGACTGTCCGGTCCCAGTCCCAAAGCCAAAACTTGTGGAAAAAAAAAAAAAAAGTTTTATGGCCTCATAACAGGACTAGAGATGTGCAGTTTTTTTCACGAGTGCCAACACAGATCCCATTTTGTGATCAGAAACACACAGTGGCTTCGAAGCAGTAGGAGACAGAGACAGGCCTTGGCCTCTTCTCTGGGGACTGCCAACTGCATGCACATCTTTTCAGTTGCCTCCCATGCGCGCGAAAGGTGGGTAACGAGAAAGGAACGCACAAGAACCCATGCGCTCTAACTGTGGTGTTGGCAAAGGATACTGGCTGTACCATTGCTGCTGCTGCTGTTGCTAGGTGCTGTCAAGCCTGTTGCAACCCCTAACAGCCCTGCGTGCAACAGAGTGAAGCACCGTCCACTCCTGCACCAGCCCCACAATCGTGCTTTGAGCCCATCGTTGCAGCCACTGCATCCATCCATCTCGTTGAGGGTCTTTCTGTTTTTCAATGACCTTCTACTTTACCCGTCACGATGTCCTTCTCTAGGGACTGGTCCCATCCTGGTTTCTAAGGAGCATTCTGGTTGCACTTCTTCCGAGACAGATTTGTTCGTTCTTCTGGAGTGAAGCTACCACGGTTGGTGCCAACAGAACAAATCAATCAGCCTTAGAAGCAAAACAGCCAGAATGCTCCTTAGAGGAGAGGATGGAGACACTTGTCACACGTACTTGGGACAAATTGCTAGAAAAGGACATGATGTTTGGTGACGTGCAAGGTCAGTAAAGACAAAGAAACCCGTAAGGGGATGCAATGACACGGCAGTTGAAACAATGGACTCAAACGGACATGTTGTTGTTGTTGTTATATGCCGTCGAGTCGGACCCGACTCACAGCGACCCCTCCTTAGGTTTCCGAGGCAGTATCACTACGGAAGTAGATTGGCCCATCTTCCTTCCGAGGAGTGGCTGGTGGATTTGAACCGCCAGCCTTCTGGTTAGCAACGGACATGGTGTAAGGCAATTAAAGGATTGTTCTGTTACAAGATCGTCAGGAGTCGTAACTGACTGGGCAGCAATTAACAATCCCAGCCCAGCCTCTTCCGTTCCTCGTACCCTCAACGAGATTCTCTCTCAGGAACACCTACCACATTTCATAAATTACTGAAGCTCAAGCCAGTGCCTTTCTGTTTTGTGGAGTCAGTGCTGACTCCTGGCGCCCCCCACGTGGGGGAGTTTTCACAGCTGAGTTTTCAGAAGCTGGCCACCAGGTCTTCCTTCCTCACCTCAATGTCTGGCCCAGTGCCTGACCTCGAGTCTGGTGCTCGGTCATTATTTGTTGAGCAAATCAATCAAAACGGCCAGAAGAGCTTGAAAACACAATCCCAGAGCAGCATCCACTTGCCCAGGCCTTCAAAAGCTGTTTCTGAAAATAAACCTCCAGGTTCTGAATTAGGTTTCTGACTTTAAGTTGCCATAGAAACCAGCAGACGGGCTTTCTTTGCGCTGAAGGGTTTACAATTGTCTGCAGAAATAAAATCTGTCCATTTAAATGAAAACACCACATAAAATCAAGAGACTTCAGGTTTTTGTGATATTTTTGGAGAAAAAACGACAGTAACGATAAATGTGCCATTTGAGTCAGCAAAGCACCCAAGGTAATGCCTCAGACTCCGTTAGGCACCATGTTGATTCAGTTGTTGGTGGCATCCTGTCCATCCCAACACATGACGACCGCACGTGTCACAGAGCAGAACAGCTTCACAGCGTTTTCTTGGCTATAATCTCAATGGAAGCAGGTTCCCAGGCCTTTTCTTCCCTGGAACCACTGGGTGGGTTTGAACTGCCAGCCTTTAGGTTAGCAGTCATGCACAAACCATTGGAGCCACCCAGCGACCTTAGTCTTCATTATTTTAGTCACTAATTCCTGGCTGTAGGGGCCCTAGTGGCCCAGTGGTTAAGCACTTGGCTGCTAACAAAAAGGTCGGTGGTTGGAACCCACCAGCCACTCTGCAGAAGAAAGATGAGATAGTCTGCTTCAGTAAAGATTTACGGTCTTGGAAACCCTATAGGACAGTTTTACTCTGCCCTGTAAGGTCCTTATGAGTCCGAATTGACATGACACCAGTGGGTTTGGGTTTTTTAATTCATGGTTACTCCCAGGAAAGAGAAGGAAAAGCCTTGGAAGTAGAAGGCCTTACTTAGAGGCTAGCTCTGGTCTTTACTCCAAGGAGCCTGCTAAGAACTGTTGGGAGAAGAGCCCCCAGCTGAGGAAGGCTGTTATTACTGGCCGTCAAGCTAGCTCCCACTCGGCGACCTTATGGGCGACCTTATGCGCGACTGAATGAGATGTTGCCTGGTCCTGCGCCCCCTAGTGGAGTGAAAAGGAAAATAGAAGTTCCCGAGCACCTGTGTGGGGTACAGAGGCCAGAAGCAAAATGCAGATTGAAGCGTCAAGGCTCTTAAGTCATCAGTAAAAGGAGCCCTGGTGGCACAGTGGGTGAGTGCTCAGCTACTAACTGAAAGGCGGTGGTTTGAACTCACCAGCCATTCCTCAGTAGAAAGACCGGTGGATCTGTAAACGGGACCCATTGCCTTTCCGTTAGCAGGCGAGCATTTAACTGTTGACACCGCCCAGAGATGTGTTCAGAGCACAGGAAATCCATCCTCTCAGAATAGATTCATTTCCTAAACGTCTCTCAATGACATCTTTTCTCCTCACTGTCACCGCCCTAGACAAGGCCACCTTCCTCTCTTTTGGAAATTACTGCAGCGGACTCCTAATGGCCCCCATCAGAGCTGGCTCCCCTCCAAACTCACCTTCATAAAACCCAAGTGCATGGAACCCCCTTTCCCCCATCCCTTAAGCCCCTTCCAAGGCCAAACCTGCTGCTGTCCAGTTGATTCCAACTCATAGGGACCCTGTAGGACAGAGTGGAACTGCCCCATAGGGTTTCCAAGGCTGTCAGTCTTCACAGAAGTAAAGCCCAAACCACACTCATTGGCTGTTGAGTCCATTCCGACCCACAGCGCCCCTAGAGGACAGAGTGGAACTGCCCACAGGGTTTCCAAGGCTGTCAATCTTCACAGAAGCAAAGCCCAAACCACACC